TTGTGTGTGTGTGTGTGTTTGTTTCTTTCTTTCTTTGTTTGTGTGTGTGTGTGTGCGTTCGTAGTTGTGTGCTTTTTGTTCGCCCTGCTTGCCACAGTGGGCGGGAAGAAGCGCTGTGTCAGGACACTGCGCCACACGCCCCAGCAAGTCCTGCGAGGCCACTTGGGGTTGAGATCAAGAGTCCGCAAATGTTTTGGGACGAGCACGACGGACAGTGTCATGGACAGAGTGAGCGGAGCCAACATGTCAAGTGGTTTGAGAGGAGATCCCGATCGTTGCCTCGAGCTGCGCACAACGCAGGGACTACCAATGTGACTCACCAGGTGTGTCTCTCAGACGCACGCAAGAAATTTGTGCAGCTTTGTGGGAATGAAGGAAATGCTTGCGGTCGAGAAGTCTTCCATTGTCCGAGTTAGACCCAGACTGTGAAATAGGAAGGCGAGAACTTTGCTGAATGGAACAAAGCTGGAATATGTACTCGCAAGACTACGCCAAAAAGCAAGGCCTTAGTCTTCCAGCCGTGCCCCAGGCCCAAAGCGCAAGACCAGCTGCAGGGAACCCAGATGCACTGGAGGCAACTTGTGGCAAACTTGCAAATGTTACCGACCAGCCAAGGGTTCTCATACGATTCCGTCAGCAAAAGTTGAAGAAGCTAGCGACGGATTGACTGATTGATGTCCAAGTTGGGCCTCAAAAAACGCATTTGCGTTTGAGCTGTGCGGGTTTCACTGCCTGTCAGTCAATCCCAGGTGACTGCCAGAAAGCCGCCGGGGTCGTGCGATCGCCCTCCAATGCCCTCAAAGCAGAATCTTTGCATGATCATTTTTTACGTGATAATTTTGATAATGTGCATTTGTTACGCCTGTGAAAGTGTTGGCATTGGCTTTCAGCATGCCAACTCAGGGTGGGTGGAGGTTGCCGATCCAAGAGCCAGACAGAGGACAAGGCAGTCAATAGCATGCCGGAGGAACGAAACCAGTTTGCATTCAATCACGATGGCTTCGCATTGTTTCGCGCTGCCAGTGCGGAATCATGATCTTGTTACCTGCTGTTGGAGAGAAACAAATGACACCATCATGGGCGAAGATGCACTCCATGTTCAGCTGAGGAAACCCGCCTCGAAAGGTTCGGCCGAGGCATGCTGGATCCACCTCAGCCCAAATCTTACAAGCGACAAGAGACTGAAACTAACTTAAATCAGATCTTTGCCAGCTTTTTGGCCCTAAGGGCTATGCGCGCCCTGCGGCATCGCTGCGGCCTGCATTGCCAAGCTCGTTTCGGGCAGTTACTGGATTGCAAAGCTTTGCAGAACCTTGCACACGATTCCAGGGTCTGAATTACTCCCAGCACAGAGCACGCAGAGGGTGGTGATGCTCCAAGGCTTTGGGACAGTGCTCCAGAGCATCTGACGAGTCTGCCAGCTCAATTATAGATGGACAAGCGGTTGCATCATGTTCGATGTGCTTGGTTTGTTGGCATGCACATGCTGAAGACGCAGCATCGCTGCGTTGTTGCACCTGCCTGCGAATCTGAGGTGCAGCACGAATGCCGGCCTGTCTTGCAGCAGCGCATCCTCTGAGGCGCGCGCCTGCTTTCATCGCATGATGCATCACTCATGCTGTTGATCAGCGCACGATAAATCAAAGACTGTATACAAGAACTACGTGCATGCGATAGGTATCTTTGTTTGCTGTCACGTAGCGTTGGCTCCAGGAGAGGTAAGTAATGCCAAACCTTTCAGCCCGCTGTCACGAAGACTGCATTTGACACAGTGTGGGTACATGTGTGCGTAACACTTGCGCTGATGGTGGGAGCAAAACAAGGAAGCAAGCACGATACCTTGACAGATCGCAAGACCTACAACTGCGGTTTGGCCTTCGCAATGGCTGATGTTCCTGCAGATGGCGAGGCGGCCGGACATAAATTGGACAGTTTGGCCCCTAGTGGCAAGAAGTCTCATACGGACGATGCTTTATGACTAAATCTTCTGAGGCTATATGCAGCAGCACCAGATTCAGCCCTTTGTGCAGGAGCGTGCATTGAAGCTGCTCCAAACCCAAGATTTTGAGCCTCAGGCTCATTCTGGTGAAGATGTCAGATTTTGACGCGTGGTATATGTTTGATAGTGATGTTAATGTTGTTGATGTTGTTGTTGTTGTTGTTGTTGTTGTTGTTGTTGTTGTTGTTGTTGTTGTTGTTGTTGTTGTTGTTGTTGTTGTTGTTGTTGTTGTTGTTGTTGTTGTTGTTCTTGTTGTTGTTGTTGTTGTTGTTGTTGATGTTGATGTTGTTGCTGCTGTTGCTGTTGCTGTTGCTGTTGCTGTTGCTGTTGCTGTTGCTGTTGCTGTTGCTGTTGCTGTTGCTGTTGCTGTTGCTGTTGCTGTTGCTGTTGCTGTTGCTGTTGCTGTTGCTGTTGCTGTTGCTGTTGTTGTTGGTGTTGTTGTTGTTGTTGTTGTTGTTGTTGTTGTTGTTATTGTTGTTGTTGCTGTTGTTGTTGTTATTG